CTTTGTGTAATTGTTTGAGCAATAATATAGTCAAGGAAAAAATCATTGATTCCATCCCAATGACTATTTTATTGAATCAGTGGCTCTTTTCGGCATTCTATAACCAATGGCTGGCTGGCTTGACTGATTTGTTTGTTGAACCATTATCCATGTTCCTAGTTTTGGATAGAGGCGTAAATGAGTTGTCTATCTTGACCAACACTTCGCTCGAGCTAAGTTGACCAATTTTTCTTGAGATAATGGTCAGGTTCGTTATTAATGCTTAAGCTCAAGCTTCATGAATAGCTTGTTGGGCCATAAAGGTTATTAAAGGAGAAGTATGTGTCGAGGGAGAAGTGGTGGCACTTAGTGATTTCTTCCATTATGAAGCTTGGACGGGAGCAGTCAAAGTTGAAGCTGTGGAAGAAGCTGAGGGATTCAATGGAGGGACTTCCATTTAGTTATAGGGAGATGGTGGTGCTTTTGGCGATAAAAAAATGAAGGGGAGGAGGATGTGTAGTAAGGAGGGGCGCGTAGGGTAACAATACTGACCAATAAGAAGTGGAGGTGACTGGGTTGAGAATTGGAGAGAATTTAATTTAGGGTTTAAAGTTTATTTATATTGTAAAATCCTATGTCCGTGATTCAACCCAACGAGCTCATGAGTTAAGCATAGGAAATTCAAATTTCAGTTTATTTATGACTTTAGTTCTGGTCATGGGCTCGTGAAGCCTAGATTGCGAGCATCATTAATTAGTCTGAGCTCAATCTAACTCACGGACAGACTCTACTTACACTCTTAGTTTTGGCTGGATAAGAACAATGCGACTAACATGGTCGTTCATGGTTTGTATCAAAACATTAAATTTTCAACTTAATAACTTGTTTCTACATTGCTTTTGTACAAATTGGATTTAAAGCTTCATAAATATGCTATTAGGATCCTTCATTTTTGTTTGGTGACTTTGTGACTTTATGAGAGAGAGAGAGAGAGAGAGAGAGAGAGAGAGAGAGAGAGAGAGAGAGAGAGAGAGAGAGAGAGAGAGAGAGAGAGAGAGAGAGAGAGAGAGAGAGAGAGAGAGAGAGAGAGAGAGAATTTGGTTAAAGGTTGCGGGTTAAAATACTGCTTGGAAGGTCCTATTTAATTCCCATAATTCTAAAATTTATAGGACCTTGAGGCCATTATAAAACAGCTGAACCATTGTAAGGCAAACTGTTCTGTAATGATCTACCATTATCTTGTGGTCATTGATGGAAAGTTTAGATTGTTTGCATCTTAATGTTCAATGATTGCCTGATGCTTAACAACCTTGGAGGTTATTTCATTTAGCATATTTGTAGTGGTTGGCCTATTTTTACAGCTGCTATTATCATTTTGCATGTCTAGTCATTTATCAGAGGAAGAGGGCTTTGTTCCTTGTAACAAATCACTGCAATGAGGAATAGATTAAACTATTCATTGATGGAAATCACACTTTTCTTTGATGGAACACAAATTAATTCTTTGATGCTGCATTTTAAGGTTTGTTTTTCTGACATTTTTATCGTTTGGCAGCTGTTTTCTTACAGGTTTATTGTCATGTGACCAACTGTATATCAATTATTTCTCACATTTGTTTCAGCTATTTCTTTAGTGAGGAATGATTTAAAATCTTTCTGAAGAAGGTTTCGTAGATTGTTATCATGCTGCATATTTTGAATGCCAAATTTCATTTTGATCATTTAAAGACACCAGTCTAGAGCTTTAGAACGAAGATACAGTTCTAAAAAATTACAGCAATAATTGTGGGGATAATGTTCACTTTATGATGATTTTACATAAGGTCAGCTATTCTGATAATGATGATGATGATGATGATATATATATATTATAATAGGCTATTAATCTAAATTCTCCTAGTTACCTGTTATGATGACCCCTAAGAGCAATTTAGTCTTTATTAGACTAAGGCAATCTAGTCTATGTTATTTATGATTGTTTATTATAAATATGTTTAGGGTTATGCATGAGATTGTGTCTTTGAGTCTTAGGGTTAGGGTTTGGGAGAAATTTTCTATCTAATTTCTATGTGAAAATCCGTTTGAGTTCCTATCAAGTGGTATTTTCGGTACTCGGAAATAAATAAGGATCTGGTGTGCCCTAATTTCGATTTGAGAGCCAGAGTTTTGACGAAGAAGCAACCAAAGGAAAGGATCCCTGCAAACACGGAAGCAACAACAAAATCGTGGCGTACCGTATCCTTTTGCACTAATCGCGACACAATCACTATTAGAGCTAACCAGGAAGCAACAACGAAGGATCGTGGCCTACAACTCATGTGTGGCGCTCCTTTACGGCCGCACCCCGCGATACAGTCGTGAATAGCGCTCACTAGGAAGAGGAATCATGGCTTACAAAGACTCATCTTTATAAAGGATAGGGGCATGCAAAGACTCGAAACTCCCAATCTTTCCCTTTCTCCCGCTCTATTCTTGTGATCAGTCACGAGTAGAGCTAACTAAGAAGGCCACATGGGGATCACAACAAACATACGACATGATTGCTTGTGTGATCAAAGCGTGATACAACCGCTATTCAAGCAGGGAAGGTACAATGGAATTATGGCCATAAAGTCGTCCTTTGAGACTGAACTGCTCGATATAAACTTGATTTGACCTAGTTGAGAAGCCAATGACGGGATTGCGACTATGACCTCCCTACACAATCATGATTCAGTTGATTCTGGAAGCGAAGAAGGGATACCAACTAACTGCCTCAAGGTACAATAACGAATCAAGTTAGTTGGGCAGCCAACGATGAGATCGCGGAGTAAAATTATTCCACAATTGTAGAGAGTAGATGTTCTAGAGAAGAAATTAGATAAAAAAGTTGAGTCACATCCGATCCGAAATAGATGAGTGTTTCTCGTCTATGGAGTAGTGTTTCTCGTTTATGGATGAACGGTTTGAACGAAGGTTCACGACCTTGAAATAAATGATGAAGAAGATCATGGAGTTTCATGCAAAGCCACCGTTGCTTGAGGTGGGATCGAGTGACAGCTTCTTGAGCTGATGCGAGAGATAACAACTAGAGGGGTTCGCGAGACATCAGGACAACGTTGTTGCTTAAGACAGATTTGGAGTTGCGAGATTAGGCGACGAACTATAGAGTAGGCTTGAGTGGGATCCATCTAAAGGCATTGTGTTGCATCAGGGCAGTGTCACTATTTGAGGTGGATCTGAAGCCACAAGATTAAGCGAAGGAATCTGGAGCAGGATTGAGCAGCAACACTTGCAAGGAATAGTGTGACCTGCGAACCAATGGAATGAACTGAAGCATGCGAGATTGAAGAAAGGAATCAAGAGTAGATTTGAGCGGTAGCATCTGAAGGGAATTGTACAACAATCTAGAGGTTTGAAATGTGTGATGAAAGGCAAAACGAGACAACATGCAATTCAGGGCTAGAGAAGATCACTTCGAAAAATTTTGCTCGGAACAAGGAACCATCAGCGATAATCTTCAAGGCAAAAAGCGATTCAGGAGTAATGACGAAAATATGATAGATGGAGATGAGCAGAGGATTTTTGTGAGGGATTGTCTTGAATATTTCGGGATGGTGACAAGATGGTGCATCGTGGTGACCCCAATTGGTGTAAGACGTTGACGTTGATGATTTTGATGAGGGCGATTTAGGACGCAAGGCCGAAATTCTTGATCAAGTTGCATATCATGGAAGAGACACATGATACAGAGTTGACAAAGATTTTGGGGATCGATAATGCTATTGAATGAGTTGTTTGGAGGCAATATTTTTCATGATTGGCTTGAAGTCAGGGTAACATTAGATTTGAATGTGGTCAACGGATGTACATAAAACGACATTTCGAGACGATGAGGGTCATTGCCAGACGACCTAATCCATACAATGTCTTCTTTGAAGGGTTTGATGTTATGACGGCGCCTACGAACAATGTAGCCTTTATTAGCTTAAGGACAATTTAGTCATTTATCATTTATAATTGTTTAGCATAAATAGGGCTAATATGTTTAGGGTTAGGGTTATGCATGCTATTGGGTCTCGAGTCTTAGTGTTACTGTTTAGGAGAAATTTACTAATTCTCGAATTGTAGGATTTGGGAGAGATTGCCTTCCTCTCGAATTTTAGCTGCTTATCTTTGCACTCTTCTTGTAATAAACTTTTAGTTGCCCTAATTTCTGTGTGAAAATCTGTGTCGGTTCCTATGATTACCTTAGATAGTTTGCAGTATTATGCGTAAAATAACATTTGAACGATGCTTATTATAACTTATTTCTACCTTTAAAAGGTCATTGCTGCTGCTCAAGCTGAAAAACACAATGAGAAGAGAGAAAGCTGCGGTGATTCTCTTATCATTGACCCATGGGGAACTACTCTTGCACGCCTTCCAGGTGAATGCTTTGTCCATTCTTCTTTGATTTATTCAATGGAGGAAATTTAGGAATGCATGTATGACATTTATAAGAGGCAGTATTTTTCATGATTGGCTTGAAGTCAGAGTAACATTAGATTTGAATGTGGTCAACGGATGTGCATAAAACGACATTTCAAGACGATGAGGGTCATTGCCAGACGACCTAATCCATACAATGTCTTCTTTGAAGGGTTTGATGTTATGACGGCGCCTACGAACAATGTAGCCTTTATTAGCTTAAAGACAATTTAGTCATTTATCATTTATAATTGTTTAGCATAAATAGAGCTAATATGTTTAGGATTAGGGTTATGCATGCTATTGGGTCTCGAGTCTTAGTTACTGTTTAGGAGAGATTTACTAATTCTCGAATTGTAGGATTTGGGAGAGATTGCTTTCCTCTCGAATTTTAGCTGCTTATCTTTGCACTCTTCTTCACTGTTTAATCTTCTTGTAATAAACTTTTAGTTGCCCTAATTTTTGTGTGAAAATCTGTGTCGGTTCCTATGATTACCTTAGATAGTTTGCAGTATTATGCGTATAATAACATTTGAACGATGCTTATTATAACTTCTTTCTACCTTTAAAAGATCATTGCTGCTGCTCAAGCTGGAAAACACAATGAGAAGAGAGAAAGCTACGGTGATTCTCTTATCATTGACCCATGGGGAACTATTCTTGCACGCCTTTCAGGTGAATGCTTTGTCCATTCTTCTTTGATTTATTCAATGGAGGAAATTTAGGAATGCATGTATGACATTTATAAGAGATGAAACATTTAAAATGCTTCCATTGTGAAGTTACTAGAATTACTTGTAACAGCATGTTGGCATATTGACTAAATTGATGTAGTCAGATGGAAACAATTTTTCGATTTTAATTGATCCAATATAATGCCAATTTGGAATCATAATATCTTCATTAATATTTTCCAGACTATATGGCATTATGATATTTTTATTTTTTTTTCATTTATTCATTCATGTTGAGTGTTTTTTGATAAACTTTATAAATTATTTTTATACAACTTCTATCATATAATCTTTAGATTTCTTTTCTTTCCTTATAATCTTGTGACAGTAATTTTTTCAACTTGTTTAATGGTCACATGTCTATTGTTTGTTGTACATATTCAAACCATCTAAGTTTATTTTCGACTGACTATTTTTTAATAGATTTTACTTGAGCTTATTTTTTAACATAGTTGCCTTGTCAAATCCATTTTAGCATCCTTATCTCTATTGTATTCGACTTAGATATCAATAGTTTTTAACGACCTAACATTTGGGTCCATAAAATTATATTGACTAGTTGCATTTTTATACTTTACCTTTCAGTCTCTGTAATACATCTTATCAATAGGAGACTATTGAAATAGTTCTCCATTTTAACCCTTCCCATCTTTAACTTTGCAAGTTATATCCTCACATATATTTCTTCATTCTTCTACATTATATATCTATGATTTTTAAACCTATCATATTTGTTAACGTCATACCCACTAGAATTAGATATATCATATTTTTAGTCTCTATTCTATTAATTCTATGATTTTTTTTCCTTAAAACATTTCTTTTTCTGTTCTATTTTTTTTTAATATACAATTTAGTGGATGTCTCACCAATGTCTAGCAAATTAAATCTGTTGTGCTACCCAATGCATGAACTTATGTCAATGTGGGGTTTTGAAAAGAGTTTGTGTAATATTCAAATAATGAGAGATTTTGTCTTTGTTGTTTGCATCCATGACATTGAGTTTATAGAATGCAATCTAAAATTATTGGCCTCTTCCATCTTTTTTATTTAGCACCTCATTTCCTGTTAGGGAAAATAATTTCTACAAAGCATTTTTTATGACAGGCATTTTGGCCCCAAAATCTGACTTCTTAGGGAAAAAATTGAAGGATTAGAATTGAATTTTACTTCCACTATAGAAAATCAAATTGTTCGGTTATTGATCATTGTCTTTTAGCTGCTTCTCCCTATTAAATTGATAACTTTGTTGAGGGAGGAGAGTATCCAAGTGCGTATTTACTCACATTGTAGAGGAAACTTTATGGCATTTATATAATCTAAAAGCTCAAGGATGTGGGAAATAATGTATTCTGGATATTAACTAGTACTGCTGTGAATGATATCAAAGAATCTTATATGGTTGATGTCAAGAGAGATTACTGGATTTAATTCCACATGGGATGGCACGGTAATTTAGAAATATCGAGTACTGGACTCATCTCTACTTAGGATTTTATATATCAGGTGGTAGTATATGAGTGGTTGTCATTATTATATGTTCAATTTTTGTAATCTGATCCTTCATATTACAAGAATTATCAGTAACTCGTGATTGGGAAACTACGATGTAGATCCAGTAGGAAGAGAGGTGGTGAAATAAAAAGATTAAGGGGGTGGCAAATATTCAAGTTTAGGATTTTCTATTTCTTAAAAAAATTTTGAAACTATTATAAATATCATTATTAAATTAAATATAATTAGTTTTAAACAATTATTAAGCATTTATATTGAGAAGGAAAAATTTTCAGGGTATTATATGATATTAAAGAGTTTAATAAAAATTTAGGGTTGGCAGTGCCTCCCCCAACCACCCTTTAGTTTCACCGCTAACTATGGTACACTCAATGAGTACAGCTAGCTGATGGAAATATATGTGTGCGCTTATTCTTAGACTAACTTATGAATTTTCTGAAGTAAATGCTGCATTTGAGAGCCTTCTAATGTATAATTCAAGTTATAATAATGGTTTCCTCGCAGATCGTTTATCCACTGGGATTGCCATAGCCGACATCGATCTCTCGCAAATCGATGCCATAAGAACTAGGATGCCAATTGCTACAGTAAGAGGGCTTTAATAAAGATTTTTAGTTTTTACTGTATGCTCGATCTAAGTTCAGTTCTAATCTTCTACTTTCGCAGCATCGGAAATTCAGTATCACCTGGAAGTCCCCGTCTCTTTGAATGTTTATGAGATCAGATGAATCATGCAATCTATGAATGATGGATGACCACTGGCGGCAGAACTTTTGTGAAAAAAAAAAGGTTGAAAAAATTTGGAAATTTCTTGTTTAAAAAAATATGAAAGTAAAATAATCCTTGCTGGGTATTGTAAGTTATAATGATTTGCTATATGGAGACTCATTTTAATTATGTCTTGTGCCGCGGATTCATGATATTTTAGTCATGACTAGGGAAAAAAATTGTGTACGCATGACGTACGCAACGCTGCGTACATAATGAAGGTTATGTGCGCGTTATATCGGCATTATATTTATGTTATATCCCTTTTAACCTTCATATAACATCTATATAACCTACCTGTAACATGCATGAACTTACAAATAAGTTCCGTGCTTTTGTTTTCACATATTTGTAAATTACATGTAGGTCATATGGAAGTTATATGGATGTTATAAGGGATATAACGCGAATATAATGCCGATATAACACTCATATTATATCCATTATGTACGCAGCGATGTGTACGTCTTACGTACGATTATGTACGCAGCACTGCGTACGACTTACATACGCAAATTTTTTCCCATGACTAGGCAAGTTATTTGAAGAATTTTATGCAGTTTTTTTATACTTTTAAATATGGGGGATACAGTTGAACCTGTTTTGTAAATTGAAACAGCATGCAACCGAATTCTTTAAGTGGTGCTTTACCACAATTTTCTTGATGATATGTTTCATGTGATTTTGTCGAAATCATAGTTTTTGTATTTCTATCATCTCGTATCTTAATGACTTCTTAGACTGCATGCTTTGAGGCCAAATTTTGAAGTGGAAATATTATTGCACCAACCATATGAAACGGGTTTGGGCTGCTCATTTTATTTTTATTTTGTTATGTATTGTCATCATTATCATCATTAGTATTCTTATAATTATGATTATCATAATTATTATGCTGATGACTATAATAGTAATAACAATAATAATAGTTATTATTATAATAAGAATAATAATTATGAGCAATCATATTTACTATTATAGCTTTCTAATTGAATTTGTAGTTTAGTTCGTTATTTTAGTAATCACACTTGCATTATGTTAATAGTTGTTTTTTTTAATTCAGTTACCAGATTAAAAAAAGTTGCAATTCAAATGAATTATTTAAAGATATTATTAAATACATTAGTTTGAAGTTGTATAACTATAATATTAATGCTAGGGTTGCATAACAAGCTTTACTGGTAATATAAAGACACTTCATGACTTGGGCCTACAAAAGTCATCATATTGACCAATTTATCTTTACTTGAACCAAAATAAAATAGAAAATCAAAATAATTTAAGAAATATGTTTATTTTTACAAAATAAAATAGAAAATAAAAAAAATACACAAAAATATATTTTTTAAAAGAATAAAATAAAATTTGATGCCAAAAAAACTCAAAAGTTAAAGATATGGGCTATCATCACTCTCCAGGAAATGTTAGTATTTGTTACACTTTTCCATTAGTTCCTTCAGCATATGTAAATAGGTAAAGCTCCATCACACGTTTAATTCTTTCCAAAATTGACGATGAGGACCTACAATTATATGATATTACACGCTCACACTATGAGATACTTGAGCTCAAATTTGGCACATTTCAACGTACCATGACATGACATGCATGTCTAACTTGTTATACATATATATATATATATATATAAATATCACGAATATCTCAGCCATAATGTTAATAACAGCCACAACTCGGGCTTGAACTAATATCATCGTCTTCAAAAACAATCAATACCAGTTCATACTTCAAGATTAAAATTAATTCAACATCCACCATTCAAAAAAAAAATACTAATGATGCCCAATTAAAACTATCATAAACAAATTTTACAAAATATAATCACATACAGTGAAATAATTTCAAAATCCTACTGCTGCATGGGCTGTGTTGCGAGGTGGAAAATCTACTGGGAAACTTTCTTCCAGTATGCTGGATCTGACTTTGTAAGAATAAATAGTAGAAGCAATTTTGTACGAATGCCAGTTCTCAATTTTTAAGGCCTGCCTGTTAATCAGATATAAAGATTCAGATTGAATGTGAGCAAAATCAGCTAAATATCGAGGTTCTCTGGATTGATCATCCTGGCTGAGTTCTGAATCAATTCCTTCCTAACATCAACCTGTACCATAACAAATTAATGCCATTTGATAACTGTATTTATCAAGTGTTCAAAAGAAAGGGGATTTTACATAACGTAGCACACAATTCATGTGTATTTACACATCTCGTATACTCAAACTTTCATATTTACATACATTGTGCTTTGGCGCCTCAAACCTATGGATGAAAATATGTATTTCACTTTTAAAAAGTGTGTAAATATGAAAGTTTAGGTGTGAGATATGTAAATACAAGAATTGTGCACTAAGAGATAGATTTTAAGGACGATGTGGGCATGTAGCTTCTAACCCGAGTGCCCATAAGAGAAGCGAAAACCACACTGGCTTCTGCAGCATCATCCACCACTATCTTCTTTAAAACCCTTGCATCAGGATTCATGGTTGTTTCCCACAATTGTACAGGCATCATCTCCCCCAAGCCTATTTAAGAGACAGTAAAAACATTTTAACTCCAACCTCAATTGCAGGTAGTTTGTTAGCCAAGTATTTTATGCGTTCAAATCAAACTGTTTTATTTAGAAGTTAGAAGATTTACATACATACCACTCAGTTTTTATATATTTACATGTCCAACACCCAAGTAACCTTCAATTTTTACATACATACCATCTACTTAAGCATGAAAAGGTGTATTCCACTGCTTAAAAGTTAAAATGGTGATATGTTTGCTGTGATATGAATGTTTTGAGTGGTATAAAATGTAAAAAACAAAAGTTAGGTGCTAATATGTAAATATATAGGAATTAGTTGGCATGGTACATTAAAACTTCTAGACAACCATATGCTTAATGCTTTGGGAGACAGTGTAGGAGACAGTAGGATTCAGTTGCTTCTCATACCATAGTCAAAGATCTTCAACCCCATAAAGTTATAGCAGCTCCGCTGCTTTCAACATGAAAGTTGAAGCTTTGAAAAATGAGATCGAAGCTCTCCCAACCCCAAGAGACTTATGCTAGCGTAAAGGACCTGTGGGAACCATCCGCTATTCCGTCGTCTAAACGGAGCTGGTCCAGACTTGAGAGGGCGAGTGCTACTCCGATCGTTCTCCTCTCGAGGTGATGATTCTTCTCAAAGGGTAGAATGGTGCTCTGATTGTATCTCACTCCAGATGTGGTATTTATCCTTCCTCGACTCTCCACATCCCTCCCATTTTTCTATGATGCATTCCTCCTCATTGCCGCCACCCAAAACATCACTCATTTTTTGTTTTCCTTCAGATTTGCTCTAACCCGTCCTCTTCCCTGCCATTGATGTTACAGCTCTCCAACTTCGTTGTCGCTGCTGTCCAGCCCTTCCTCTTTGCTACCGCCACCATTTCAGCCCTCCATCCTTGCTACCATCACCCCGGACAGCCTTCCCACATCCTTGCTACCATCACCCAGGGGAATCCTCCTAAGTTATGGTATGTTCATCCATTTATAGCAAATTTTCACATCACGATGAAAATATAATGAAGTTGGATTGCTATAATGCTTAGAGAGTTGCCCAGAATAAGACACAGGGTTGTTTGGGATTAATTTTATATTATGTCTTTTTTGCTTTTGAAAAAAAAACAAAAAGTTTATCTATTTTTTTGTTTTATTTCTTAATTTTATTTTTAAATGAAACATGGTTGTTTTTAAAATACCCAAAACACAAAAAAGTGTTTTTATCTATTTCGAAAACAAATTTTTTCGCACTCCCCTATATCTTGCGCAACAGTGGCTTCTCCTTCGGTCTACCGCTTGGCATGAAGGAGCGGAGCGTGCCAAGAGAGAGCCACGCAAGCGGGAGAGTGGCGAGAAAGGAAGGAAATCTGGCAAGGGTCACCGACGGCATGAAGGAACGGGACGGCATTGTTTAGAGGCAGAGAAGAGAAGGGCCAAGGTTTCGGTCGTGAAAGCGGGGGAGAGGCTAGGGCATTGTGACCGAGAGGAGTAGGTGCTCGAGGGACTGCTAGTCGCCAGAGGGAGAACCGTCGACGGTGTCGTTGCTGGTAGCAGGGAAATCTAGCACGTAGAAGGATCCTAGGTGGGGTTTCGGGCAAAACTGAAAGAGGCACCAATTGTGAGATTAAGGTCTGTGCAATCCTCCTGTAGCCTGAGAGAAAGAGGGATTTTATCTCCTTTTTTTAGGTGGCATCTATGTAAATGTCAATTATGTTTAACTAATTTATTAAAAAGTATAAATTTTTCTTGAGAAAAAAATAAAAAATACCCAACCGAAGATGTTTTATAATTTTTGTTTTTAAAAACAGATAAATCATAACAGTAATAAACGCATTTTCTAAAATAAAAGGTAAAAAAAACATACTAAAAACAAAAACAAAAATAGAAAACAAAAAACAGAAAGAGATCCCAAACAAGACCTCAATTAATCATAATGGTCTAATTTTCTGTTTTCGATATAAAGATATATTGGGGACAGAATGAATTACATTGTAGAAAATAGAATCATGCATTCAAAAGTATGAAAAGATGATGTATTTCTGTAAAATGATACATTAGATTGTAAAGAATTGAGTCATGCAAACAACAGTACGCAAAGATCATGACGAATTTCTCACCTTTAAACCTCTGGATATGGTACGTAGCATTTGAAGGAAAAGAACTCTGAACTTTTTTGAGGTCAGCTTCATCATAGCAGTAGTGTACTTGCTTACCACGCTCAACCTAGAATTCATTAACTAAATTAAAACTTATAAATAATTCTAAAAAACAGAATAGATTGAACAATGCTGGAAGGCAGACCTTATAGAGCGGTGGAACACCTACATATATGCAACCCTCATCAAATAATGCTTTCTGTACCAAAGGATTTTTATCACCAAGGAGAAATTAGCCGAACCAAAAACATGAAATTTAACATATGTAAAAATAAATAAGTTTGTAGCATTTAGTACCTGATACCTAAAGAAGAAAGTGAGAAGAAGAGTTCTTATGTGAGCACCATCCACATCAGCATCAGTTAGAATGATGATCTTATGATACCTCAAAGATTCCTTTTTAAAATCCTCCCCCTGAAATTAGATAAAGGAAAAGTTTCAACAAATGCAAGAAAGCCATCAAAATCTTCCTTGTTAAAGAATGAAACCTTCACTCCAAGTCCAAGTCCGAGTATGAGATTTTGAATTTCTTCATTTTTGTACATGGCTGCTTCATCCTTCCTTTCAATATTCAAAATTTTACCCCTCAAGGGCAAAATAGCCTGTACAAAACGTTTTAGCCAAGGTTAAATATTTTCAGTAAAAACACAAATAGAAAATTGCATTATGCATATGTTGGTCCCCAAAATCGCAATATATATAGAACATGCTTGTTCAAAACCAAACAAGCAATGTCAGAGCACTAGTTTGGCAACTAGCTTAATAAAACATGTTGGCAACATCATAAAATGTAAATTTTTTTCTCAACTATCACTTTTATGATTACATGAATTATGATAAAAACAAAAAATGGATGACATGCAAGTAAATTGAACAAACACCTAGCAAGATTCGCCATTGGATCAACACTAACTTGGGCAGAATTGTAACACATGACACTTTAGAAGAAATAAAAAAGCATTCCCATTTCCACTATATGCTATAGCTCAATCAAATATATTAATACAGAGTTGGTCCGTCAAAATTACAGCATTAAAACTTAAAAATTAATCAAGATATTATGTTAAGTAGGTCGATAATGAGGTAATAATCATGAATCCATCACCAGCACATTTCTATAGCAGCACAACAATCCCTAGAAAACGACATTTTGTTTCTGTTATGCAGTTAATTCTAAATTTCAGAACTAAGAACTGAATTTCATGTTTGTTTCCTCCCTGGATAGTTTTTTCTCCACCTATTTATATGCAACATCTCATCTACGTTAATACGCAAAATAATTAATAATAATAAGGCAAACTCATTTTTTCTTCTACTCTCTTCATATTCTAATTATCACGATAGAATCAAAGAAATTAGGATTCTTACATACGTCTTTTGAATGAAAATTTTGAAATTTAGACATTTCAACATGATAATCCACAATCAATTTAAGCCCAAAATTTATATCTTGAAAATCAAAGATGCTAAAGAAACTTTGAAATTATCTAAGAAAGTAATGCCTTATCTCAAGAGATTATCCAAAAATGTTATGTGCCAATATACCTCAACAAAATGAGGACGTTCAAAGTAAAAATAGAAAGCTCTAAAATCTTCCACAACTATTCCTGAATATCTTCGGAGAGAAGTTCTAACAATTACACATCACATTAATAGAATGCTCTCAAGAGTACTTTAATTTCGAACCCTTCACTTTCATTTCCCAAAAACAAAATTATAGCTTATCTTCCTTAAAAAAAACTTTTTGTGATAGGGTTTCATTTACATTCATTATTAGCACTAGAGCAAATTAGGATCAAACCTATCAAAACTATCATTATCAAATACTCCCAAATTCAACAAGAGAACAATCACTTTTTCTATTATCATGACCCGCCCCGGGGCTTGGAGTTAACCGAAACAGAACGAACAGACAGACAGTAAAAATCAATTCTTTGTTATTCAAATTCTATTACTAAAAACATAATATTTAAATAATACATGAAAGAGCAACTAAAAAAAAAACAATTAAAATTAACAAGTAAAAAATTTAACATTTCTTTTTGTTCTCGTCTTCTGAATACATTTGCTTCACTTCTATTTATTTTGTTCAAATGTTTAAAACCTAGAAATAATATGAAAATAACATAATGAGTTATTTAAAAATAAGCTAGGAGTAATCTCACCACTAAACTGCAGTAATCCAAGGAAAAGACTACAATATGTATACGTGTCCATAAAAAATAGCATAATATGTTTGATCTTTCACATTTATTTATAAGCCATCTGATATATATTTATAAGCAATCTGACAAATGTTTATAAATAATTTGATATATGTTTATAAGCAATAATATATGTTAATAAATGCATCAATTGCATTTTCTAAATAAACAAAAATTAATACTCTATATGCATTTATATTTACTTTTATTTTACACTTTGCGTACACATCTGTATCTGTGATGATTACAGTCAACAAACCTATCACACTCTTGGTCGATATTACCCCATCGACATAGTGGTTAGCAAACTAGCAATTGCCTAAGGTGGAAAGAACTTACCTGCCCCTGAGCAATATTATCTCATCGACACAGCGATTAGTGAATTATAACAATTGTCTAAGGTGGTAGAAAAACTCTACTTGCACTGGTGCACCGGCGTCCATTACCTATATCATTAGAGGGTGAAATCCTCATCTGAACATGCACATACAAGTTTTTATATATAAACTAATTTATTAATATACATATATTATTCTGTGACATCTTTATGCAATCTACTAACATGCATACTCTGTTGTGCAACTAACTATTCATCATGCATATCTTCTATCTCTTAAATCATGTATATCTTACATATCTGTTGTGCAACTAACTATTCATCATGCATATCTTTCATATCAATCAAATATCTCTTAAATCATGTATATCTTACATGTATATCTTACATAAAATATCTATCTAAATATCACTCATATCATGCATATCTTTTATAATTTTTCAGTCATACATAATTTTTCTATCTAAAGAATCTACTGCAATCTAAATCCAACTAAACTAAAACATACATATAAATCAACACATATTTTCAAATAACACCTCAGTTGTCAAGCTAAACTCTAAATCTTCGATATCTAGCTAGAGGTTGTGGTGACTTTTAAGTTGAGCTTAATAACCTATAAAAAATAATATTTAAAATTTTAAGATCTAAACAATTTTTATTAATCGAATAAATTTTCTTAGCCTAGGATTAATTTAACTGAATTTTAAGGGATTTGACCTACGACTATCTTCTGCAAGCTTGACTCAAACTTGCCGCCTCACGTAACCAGCCTGAAATCTTAAACGAATTAGGAATTCATAATATATTAGTTCATTAGATAATATAGCTTAAAAGATCAATGATTTTCCAAAACATACATTAAATGGCTTTCTGGGCGACCAATCCTTCTTCAAAACTGCTAAATTTACTTTTTATCACATCCAATCACACTTCCCCTACACTGATATCATGCTACCCTTATGAAAGATCGCAACTTTTGATGCTTTTGGCATAATCTGCGCCTTCAACGGCAACCATAAAGGCAAAAGGGACGAAAAACGAGGCAAATATCAAAATAGAAACATGCGGAAATGAAAGTCTCAAATATTACTAAAATCGGTTTTGCATTTACTGATTTCACAGCATAGCCTGAAAATGTCGTTTGCAGCTCTGTGCGGGCCCCTCTCTTTATTGTTTCTCGCAGCTGCTACAGCAGCCTGATTGTTGGAACTCCCCAGGTGCGAGAAATCAAGAGTAGGGAGAGGTGGAGTCGAGAGAGAGGAGAAGAAATAGGGAGAGGGGTGTAGGTCTTGGCTTACCAGGTGCCGCTCACCCCTTCAGGACCGCCTGCGGGTTTGCTCGAACGCAGGTCCTCACAGGAGCTTCTGCAGAGTGAACCCGAGAGCCATGAAGGAAAATCAGGAGGGGAAGGAGATTTTGAGAGCTATGAACACATTCGATTGCACAAAAAAATAAAAGAGGCATAAGTGCATGGGCTACAGTGTTGAGGATTAGGGAAATAGTTAATATTAATTAAATTAATTAAACGAATAACTTGAACATTTTATATCTCCCAAACCATTCATAATTTACATACAATATTTTATATGAAATTGATGGATTTTTCATGTAGAATTTTATAGAATTGTTTTGATTGAAATCCGATGGATGCGAAAATTAGATATAATTTAAGTCACCAATATTTTTATCAAATTTCTCAGAAATTGGTTCTTACAATCTCTCTTTATAAAACTTCATCCTTGAAATTCATGAACTCCGTATCAACTATGAAGATAAAACAAAAGTGATTACAAAAACTTGTTTCTTGTGAAGTAGTAACTAAAACATATGTGATAAATCATACATCTGTTAAAACCAACATAACACCCAAAAGACAAATCATCCATCAAACAATGTATCAACATCAGTGGCAACAAACTCCTTTGATTAAGAGTCAAAGAATAAAGTGTTGGGCAAATGTTCTGTCTTAGTTGCTCCTTACGATCCACAGTATCAGCTTTTGTCATCCTCTGTCGACCACTTCTAGAAATAGATCATTCTTGAAAATTCCTCTAAGATGGATCCCTTCCTGAGTGAAAATATGATGTGGATCTCTGAAAAGCAATAGAGAAATTTCTCTTCTAATGTCCGGGCTGTTTGCATAAATAACACACCTTAAACTCAAGTAAACATTCCCCATAATGTTGATTTCCACACTTAACACAAGGTTGTACAGTGCCACTGCCAACCTACCTAAAAGCTCTACCGGTGTAAGACTTCATCTTCTTCCCACTAGACCTTATGGATGAATTGTTGGTGTCACTTCTTCCAAACTATTCCTCTTGTGCAACTCTCTACGCTTCTGAGTCTGCTGAAAATCAATCTCCACCCACCTAGGTCTCTCCACTAGCGTTGAATAGTTTTCAATCCCAAGTGGCACAAGTGGTTGACTGATCGAATCTTTCAGTCCGGAAAGAAATCTGTGGCATTTCTCTTCTGCATTTAGAATAAGTTGGTGTGCATAACTCAATAGCATAGTAAACTTCACTTCGTATTGCATAACTAATTGATCTCCTTGCACCAACCTCATAAATTTATCTTGCATTTGTCTTCTAGTCGAGAGTGGTACAAACCATTCTTTGAAGGTTTTCACAACTCATCCCACTGTACCAAGTGGTTGTGGTCCTACTTCCAAACTTCTACATCTGACCTTGCCACCATCCTTCAGCTTCTCCCTCAAAAGCAAAAGTGGCTAGGGTAACTCTCCTCTCCGGCGGACAAGATATGCAATCTATGATTTTCTCAACTCTCAACAACCAATTTTCTGCTTCCACTGGCTCCCCTACTTCAGAAAACAAATGTGGTCTCATATCTTGAAAAAACTTCAAATACTTATCCAATGGTGGTCCTCCACTGGTATTATCTTGAGGTTGAGAATTCTTAATCAACTGAGTCAACATTCATCATATCAGAGAAAGCACCAGCATTAATTGTGACATTATGGGGCACAACAGATTCTACATTCTCATCTCCGACTTCTTCCTCAAAAACATCCATAATTCTAAAAAAACAATCATAT